TCCCAAGCTGCCCCACTCCCACCACCAGCAGCCCACTGTCCCTTCCATGGGAGGACAGTCACCCAGAGTTGCTCTGCGCACACTGGGGCCCCAGCCACCAGCTCATCAGCCTGCTTCTGAGACATGATTAAGTTGGAGGGAGTGTCATCTATCTCTCAGGGCACAAAATCTGGCCCTAGGACAATAATCTAAATAACACTGGCTTGGAGCTTATTCTGAATCAACTCTGCCAAATCACAGAAACACATTATGTTAACCCTTTCAGAGCAGTCATCACTTTATGGCTTAACAGTACAGCAGTCTGTATCCATGGCAACCTATTCATCTTTATAGCCTCACCAAGAAATAGCGGCAAAATAAGTCTCTGTCAGTAGAAAGGAGAAGTGAGAGAAAAGAAAGTGGGAAGAAGGACAGAGAAAAAAGAGGCCGAGAGAGGAAGGGAGGGAAGGAAAGAAGGAAGGAGGAAAGGGAGATGGGAGGAAAGGAAACAAGAATGGAAAGAAGGAGATCAACCTCTGCCAGTATTCCCACAGCTATACACCAACAAGGGAAAAAATGCAGTATAACAACAGGGAGGATAATTTTCAGGAAAAAAACAAATCAGCAAAATTAAATACTATTTCTACTCTGACACAAAGTTGTAAACCTAATTAAAATATAATTAATGAACAATAAGTGGTATGAGTCCTAGCTATTTATACACAGATATAGTCTTCCATTAGACATTAACATCTTGCAACTGGTATGTGTGAAAGATGTAATAATCAGATTTATTTTGTAAATATTGCAACATTCCTCAAAAATAAAACTTATCTTTTCAACTTTACCAGGTAAATTACATATCTTATTTAATACAAATGATTAGGCTAGATACTCTGTTTCTGTGCCAAGGTGCCTAGATTGATTGTGACACTGAACAGACATGTTATCAGGGCTGAATTTTTCATTGTGCAAAGCATGTGTGCTATTTTTGGCACCTGTTACAAAGTATCCTGCCACATCTCAGACCTGGCAAATTGGGGGTCAGGCAAACCATGACTCTAGGAACATGGGCATGTACTGTGTATATCACCAGAATATTAGAATATAGGAATGTTACACTTGTCCTTAGTATACAAAATATTAAATTATGATGTATTCCACAAAAAGATAGAAAAATAATGATCAGCAATTCCTGTGAGTAGCCCAAGTTCCTGATTTGTTCATGGGAACATGTCTCAATGTATAAACTTGGGAATAGGGCTTCCCTGGAGGACCATTGGTAAAGAATCTGCCTGCCAATGCAGGAGATGAGGGTTCGATCCCTAGGTTGGGAAGATCCCCTGAGGAAGGAAATGACACCGTACTCTAGTATTCTTGCCTGGAGAATCCCATGTACAGAGGAGCCTGATGGGGTCAGAGTCCATAGGGTCACAGAGTAGGACATGATTTAGCAACTAAATAACAACAACTTGGGAATAACTACAAGCGTTCTTTGCATGACCTTTGTTGTTCATTTGCTCAGTCGTGTCTGACTCTTTGCGACCCCATGGACTGGGTCACACCAGGCCTCCCTGTCCTTCACCATCTCCAGGAGTTTGCTCAAACTCATGTCCATTGAGTTAGTGATAACATCCAACCATCTCGTCCTCTGTCACCCCTTCTCTTCCTGCCTTCAATCTCTCCGAGCATCAGGGTCTTTTCCAATGAGTCGGCTCTTTGCATCAGGTGGCCAAACTATTGGAGCTTCAGCTTCAGCATCAGTCCTTCCAATGAATATTCAGGGTTGATTTCCTTTTAGGATTGACTGGTTTGATCTCCTTGCAGTCCAAGAGCCTGTAAAGAGTTTTCTCCAACACCACAGTTTGAAAGCATCAGCTCTTGGATGCTCAGACTGTTTTGTGACCTTAGAGATTCAAAAAATGAAGACTCTAAACAACTAGCAAAAGGTTCTGTCACTTTCTGGCTTTATAAAATTTCCTAGTGGTTGCCCCCTGAGAAATAGAAGAATCATCACTGAATTATTTTGACTCACATTCACCTGAAACAACAGGTTATAAATTGGTGTCAGGCTATGATGACTTTGCCATCTGTTCTAATCACTCATCAAAGAATAAGAAAGGCAATTATAAGGTTGTTACCTTAGTGAATAGATCAATAGGAAAGAAAACATAATTTGCCTTAGAAAATTTTCTTCTAGCAAATTACGATTTGCAACATAATACCAACTTTGTAACTTCTGTAAATTTCTTACATTTGTTCGGGCCTTTATTTGTAAGTCAGATTTTTATTTAGCAGGCAGTAGGGGGGAAAAAAGGCTTCAGTATATAAAAATCCAAAACAACAACTATGACAAAAAAATTCCCATAATATAATATAAGCTCTTCTTTTTTTTTAGTTAAGAAGCACTCGGAGGCCTCATTTCAGCTTGGAGACAGAGTGTCATAATTAAGTGTCATTGTCTTCCTTGCTCACAAAATGCCAACCATGTGCCAAGTATGAGTTCTGCCCATTATGTCATTTCTGATCTTTTTCCAGAGTAATTCTTCTGTCCTTTGATGGACTTGATCCTCTGAGGTAACACATTCTTGTCTTAGCTGCTAAGAATCACTTGGGAAACAACTTTATCACTCCCTTGGTCTTAAAGTTTACTTTGGCAATCATAGAGGGAAAAAAAAAAACTTTTCCCATTAGTTGCTCTAAAACTTAAAAAGTGGGATAAAACCTAGTAACATCTCTTAGTTAGGCAACATGTCATAAAAGTTGAGAAATTCCAGCAATTGTTTGAAGTAAAGAAAAAGGAGGAAATGCATAATACCCACATACTTATCTCAATTACTCGTCATAATAATTCTTCAAAGACGTTTTTATCCTCATTTTACAGCTGAAGAAACAGTCTCAGAGATACCGAATAAATTCTTTTTTTTTTTCTTTTTATGAATAAAATTTATTTTACTTTATTTATATTTTTAAGCTATGTCTCAAAGCTAAACTATGACCCTAGGTCCATTCATTTAGAAATACATATGCTTGAGTGATTCACACACAAAATTTGGGGAATATCCTTGGCAATATCAGCGACCCCTAACATTTTTAGTACCAAGTACCAGTTTTGTGAAAGACAATTTTTCCATGGACCAAGAGTTGGGATGGGATGGTTTAGGGATGATTCAAGCCCATTACACTTATTGTGCACTTCATTTCTATTATTATTATATCAGCTCCACCTCAGAGCATCAGGCATTAGATCCCAGAGGCTGAGGACCCCTACTAGTGCCTATGGAAGCTGGCTTATGGTAGAGCTAGTATCACTGTACACGTTTCAGAAGTACTCCTTCTACCTGTCCAGATGAACCAAATGCTTTCTCTTTAGGTCATTCCACATTTTTCTTTTCACTCTTTGCCTAGCTAAGACCAACTAGCCTTTATGATGCAGATTAAATTAGCCCTTCCTCCAGAGAGTCATTCCCAAGTTTCCAAACATGCACCCCACAGAATCCAGTAGCCATCTCTCTCACCATTTTCTGTATACTTCATTGTACTCCTTGAGGGCAGGTCCGTGTCTTTCTCATCTTTGCATTTCAATGTCTAACACAGTGCCTAGCCTGTAATAGGCCCTCAAAACTGGCTGAAGGTAATTAAGAAAAGAGGGAAAGTGTTTTAATCTCAGTATCTGACTGTGTAAAATTGTTACAGCATTTGCCAGCCTAAATAAGAAAGTGGCTAATAATTCCTAAAGACTGAACTGAGGCTGTTGTTCAGTTAATAACGTAATGTAACAAGTGTCCATAAGCCTCTTTTCAGTGTATGGGGCCTTCAGGGGTCCTGTAATTACTTTAAAAAGAAGCCCAAGTATTTGTCAAGCTCACAGAAACTTACACAATTTAGCTCATACCATGATACCCACAACACAACAGGAGTTAGGGAGAATATCGTCTGCCTAAATCTAAAATGATCCTTTATGAAAAGGAACGAGGAAAGACTTCTTTTTTCTAGTTCTACATTTCCGTTTCCTCTAGTTCAGCCCTCTCCCAGCACAATTCCCAAACCACCTTCATATTCCAAGGGCTCGGGAGAAACAGATGCAGTCATTGTAACAGGAATGCAGATTCACTCATTACCACGTCCACTATTTGGCAAAAACACAGCGCATGTGTGTTTCTGATACAGCCTCCCTCCTAAGCCACAATAAACTGAAGAATAGTCTAACATTATTTGCTATATTATCCAATCTAATAAACAAAGCAACCCTTTATTAGGTATCATCTTTTAGGTAATACATTCAGTCTATTTTAATCCTGCCCTTTTCTTATTTGAACACACCACTCTGCCCTCCCAGCTGACCTCTGGGTTCGCTATAGCCACTGAATGAATGGGTGAATGAATGACCTCAAACAGGCAGCGGGAGGGGCCACCACAGTCTCACAGTGGCCTCCACACCCCTGCTGGCCCCACTGCGAATGACTGGTCTGGCACACACCTGGGCTGTGGTTGACCAGGTCTCTCTGGGGGTATTCTCCCGGTCTCCATGCTGATATCTGTAGTGCTAAATTTGTGGACTTTCTTCCTTGATGTGGCCAGGGCCTGGTGGGATATTACGGCTGACTCAGCATATTAACCACATTTCTAGCCTCTGTAAACTTGACGCTTTAACAATTGCCCTATACGCGTATGCCAAAACACCTTGTCTTAGACAATTTGATTATATGCTTGAGTCACCCTACCTTGGCCTTCTGCCTCACCTGTCACCTCTCCCCGCCTAGGGAGGGAGGGATCCTCTTGGGGTTGTGGAGTCAGGATGTTCAGATACAAACCAACCACCCCAGAGTCCACACCTGCAAGCTCTATTAGGCTCTCACACTCCAGGCCACTGTGTTGCTGTTGTTATTTACTTGCTAAGTCATGTCTGACTCTTAGTGAAGGCATGCACTATAGCCCATCAGGCTCCTCTGTCCATGGGATTTCCCAGGAAGAATACCAGCGTGGGTTGCCATTTCCTTCTCTAGGGGGTCTTCCTGACCCAGGGATCAAACCCATGTCTCCTGCATTGACCAGTGGGTTCTATACCACTGAGATATCTGAAAAGCCCTAGGCCACTATACATCTGTCCTAACCACCCCAAGGCCAGGTACTAAATAACTAGAGACAGCTCCTGTGATGGAAAACTGCTGAAATCATTCAAACTAACCAATTCTAAGCTTTTTATCCTGTTCCTTTCCACAGAAATCACTCACCAAAAATTCTTACCCACAGCTCCTCTCTGTTCCTCTCCCCTCCCCAGCTCCTCAAGCATACCCCCAGCCCGCCTCCTGACCTGCATCATTGCTTCCCAAGTGGCTGCCAATGCCATAGCGTGCCCCTTCCTCTGTGAGTAACAAACTATTTTCTCAATGGCCATGGTCTCCTGATCTGCTGACCTTGCCGCATCTCAAATCTTCTATTAACACACTACACTTTTAAACACTCAGCTTCCTTGCTCTGGACTCTCAATGGCCCCATTCAAAGTCTCTGGTGCATCTTCCATGCGGTCCCCCAGACCTGGATATCCCCACCTCAGCTTCTACTGTGAGGTCACCTTGACCCTACACAGGTGTATGGTGGCTCAGGGAAGGATTTCTGATGCTCAGCTCGACGTCTATGCCCCACCGGGATTGAGAGAAATTCAATAGTCAACCCAGACTTGCTGTCTGGCCACACTCTCCTATCGAGCTGCAACATATTGGTCGCGGGCACTCATCACGGGGTCCCAAGCAAGAGGTGAGCACGTCATTCCTAACTTTGAAACTGCCTCAAATTTTAAAAAACATCATCTGTGCTCTGGCTGAAAGCCTGGGGCAGAGAGCTGTCTTCCTTTTCTTGCCTTCTTTCTACATCTATTTCTGTTCCTTACCATTCCTGGGCCCAAGAGGGATGGCCTGTCCTCCTTTCTCTTCCTGTTTACTTTTATACTGTTCTAAAACCCTATGTTCAAGGCCACCAAGCCTGCCTCTTGATATGTTAAAGAGGGAGGTCAAAATAAAGAAAATTAAGCATATCTTCATCTTCTATCTCTTCCCTCTCTCTTTCTCCCCTCTCTTTTTCCCTCGTCCCCTCCCTCCCTCTTCCCCGCCCTCTTTCTCTCTCTCTCTTAATCAAAGCTCTAACTTTCTTGTGTATTATACTATCCTCTCCTACACAGAAAGGTAAGCTTCATGGCTTAGATTAAAAATGAAAGAGAGCAGAAAGTGATAATTTAAGCAGGAATTTTAATCATTTTATATTTGCAACAATGTTATATTAGCTTGTGATCACAATCTTCAATCTTAACTGCAGGTATAAGTCTTAAGACCTCTAAGAAGTGAGCATCACTCCCCAGAAATAAAATCCTTCTCCCATGTCTAGTATAAAAGGTCAAGAAGACAAATGCTCCAAATTACAAAGAATATATATTAGTATACATTACAGAATAGATGATTAGTATATATTAACTAAGTAAAGGTGAAAACTATTCTACAAAACAGGAGTGTAGGTCATTAGTAAGTGGTTCTATTCATTATATAAAGAAATGCTGGATGTGTGGCTATAACATTACATAATCCCAGAGCAAATTCAACTCAGGCCTCAAATTTTAGATAGAGTCTAGAAATCTCACCTAAGTCTGACTTACACTGTGCTCAGATATAACATTAATATTTCCCCCACTTTATAGCTGAGCCATTGTAATGGTTTTGGGAGAGACTCTCAAAAGCTGGTACGTGGAAGTCATTATTTAAAACACATCTCTTCATTTTCTGACAACCTAAGATACTCTTACCCCTCCCAAATATATTCAAATCTGTGCTGAGAGCTTTTCACACATTACAATCCAGCTATCATTTTCACATTTTTTTTTTCTGCTGAGAGTTGCCTAGAAAATAGATTAGCCAGACACTAGGTGTGAAAACATAAGATATGTGAGAAAAGTGAGGTTTAATATTAGAGTTAAGCAGTGGATTTTTTCTCTTCCATTCTGTGAGTATGTGTGTGTGCACACGTGTGTGTGCACGTGCACTTGTGTGTGAGAGCTGGTGCCACCAAGTTTCCCTGCATACGTAGGAGTCCCTGTGTATGTACCATGTGTGGGTTCTTATTCTTACTTGAGGTTTGAGGGAAAATAACAGGTTTTCCAGTTTTTAAAAAGGGGCCTACAATAAAAAGCTAATTTGGAAATGCACAGCAAGAAAGGCTGCAGTGAAATGCCATAAGATGTTAACAAAGGTCACGATGGGAGTTAGGACAGATTATGTTTCTATGGCCTCTACTTTCAAATTTACCACCATGTTACACTAAAACATCTTTAAAATACTATTCTAAGAAATTCCCGAATAAGAGCTTTCACTGAAGTTATCAAACACTGATTTGGGTTATTTATTAGGACAGTACAGGTAGAGTGCACACATTTAGGACTGTGCCTGTAGGATTAGTTTCCAAATGAAAGGCATGGAATTGTATTCATGTCAGATTAAAGCATGGAAGTTGGCAAAGTATAATGTGGTTTTTATGGGCTCAAGAGTGCAATTCCCAGTTTTACAGATCTTGGCTGCCTGCTAAATCGCCAAGGTGTGTTCTCTCTTTGTGACCCCATGGACTGTAACCCATCAGGCTCTTCTCTCCATGGGATTTTCCAGGTAAGAAACTGGAGTGGATTGCCATTTCCTTCTCCAGGGCATCTTCTCCATCCAGGGATCAAACATGCGCCTCCTGTGTCTGCTGCATTGGCAGGCAGATTCTTTACCACTAGACTATCAGGGAAGCCTTTAAAATATCTCAAAACCATGTTGTTCAAACTTCAGGTAATGACTCATTAGGGGTCATGAAATCAAGTTAGAGGCTCAGGACTAGCGCTTTTTTAAATATTAAATTAGAATGGGAAATATTAGAATATAGCCATTCCAATAAAGATACTGCTTGTGTAAAATATGTGTATATGTGCATTTGTGTATGCATATTAAACATTTGCACACCTATATTCATATATATTAATAGACATGTATATATAAAGACATTTTATAGATTGTAAAGTAAAATATGTTCCTTCTGTAGTTTACAAAATCTTTTCCAAAAGTTTAGAAAATGATATTTCAAAATATGCATCACAGGGCTTTAAACATAGCGAGTGTAGCCCAGTGAGTGCACGCATGCGCACACACACACGCACACTGACGCACACACAAACAACGCACACGCGCGTGCACACACACACTCTCACACACACACACACACTGATGCACACACAAACGCACGCACACATGCGCGCACACACACACTCTCTCTCACACACACACACACACACACACAGACACACACACACACACTTTCTCAGTCAACTGCAACTACTTCTGTCCCCTCACGTTTTCCTCTAGGAGAGATGGTGTTTTATTTAACAAAGCACCTCACTGCCCCATTTGCTTCCAAAAAGATGAGCTTTTGGCAAGTTGGAAACAAGGAGAATGAGAATTGCTCTACCCAATGAAAAGCATTTTGGGGTTCCAGGTCACAATGCAGAGATGGAAGGAGGGGTTCCAAAGAAAAGAAGAGAGAGAAGGGAGAGAACACTACAGTGCCTGGTAAGGGGCGTCTAGAGAAAGGATACCAAGGAGAAAGGAGTGAGCAGAGGACATTGTGCTTAAAGAATTAACTCCTTTGTGGCCGTGTGCTCTGACGCTGTCCTGAGGTGTAACTGACTCCAAAACCACCAGTGCATGCAGCTGCAGACACAGCCCTCAGTAGGTGATACCTTCAGGCTTAAAGAACTGATGCAGGCATGGACGTGAGATATCATTTCCCAGCGTGCTAGAAGGAGCTGATTCTTGGACTTCATTTTTACCAGCTGCCAACTCTTCTGCCAACCTCTGCGCCAACCCTACAGGCTCTACTGGTTACAGCAGCAGAACAGGCGCTAACGGGTGTCATCTCCTTTTATTTCTAGCTTCACCATGTGAAGAGGATGGATAAAGCTTCAAAATGGATAAAAGTCAAACACTGAGAACCAGGAAGAAAAAGAGTCGAGGACATGGATAATCAAACGGAGATCAGTCCTGAGTAACCAGGAGTTTAAACTGGCACTCCCAGGTAGAAAAGCAGGTAAAAAAATAAATTTGTGTGTGTGTGTGTGCTCAGACACCCAAGTCTTTGCAACCCCATGGATTTAGCCTGTCAGGCTCCTCTCCATGGGATTTCCCAGGCAAGATGACTGGAGTGGGTTGCCATTTCCTTCTCCGTGTATCTTCCTGACACAGGGATCAAACCCGCATCTCTCACATCTCCTGCGCCTCCTGCGTCTCCTGCACTGGCATCTAGATTCTTTAATGTTACCTGAGTGGAGTAAATCCAAACATTCATGTTTTTATGCCCAAAAGTAAAAGCGCGCCCATATGCAAAGACCATGCTAAATGAGACATAAACAGGACAGAATGTCCATCCCTGAGGTATGCACAGAGTAGCTGATGGCATGAAACATGAATGTTAAAAAATAATTTAAAATATTTTAAAATAATTACCAAAGGCTTAGAAAAAATTAATAAACATTGTAGAAGTTGAGAATACAGGATCTATTCTGATCAGTGATACATTTTTCCAACTTCCAATATACAAGTTTTCCAACTTTTCAAGATACCTCCTAGCTTGCTCCTAGACGCGAGCTACCAGCCTATTCAGGGATGTCCCACAAGAACCCCTCCACTTGGTTCTAAACCTCTTCTAAATCCCCCTTAACTGGCACATGCTAATTTGTTTTGGTATTCCATCTCAACAATGGTACAAAGGAGAGAAGAAGAAAGAGTAAGTTACAGGGAGAAGAAGATTTCAACAGAAGGAGCTGAGAATTAAATCTGAGATATTCTGCCAATGACAGGGGAATAGACACTGGATGAGGGGTTGTTCAAAAAAGAGGTTCAAAGAACCTCTTGATGAAAGTGAAAGAGGAGAGTGAAAAAGTTGGATTAAAGCTCAACATTCAGAAAATGAAGATCATGGCATCTGGTCCCATCACTAAAAGGGACGACAGAGGATGAGATGATTGGATGGCATCACAGACTCAATGGACGTGACTTTGTGTAGGCTCTGGGAGTTGGTGTTGGACAGAGAGGCCTGGCATGCTGCAGCTCATGGGGTCGCAAAGAGTCAAACACAACTGAGCAACTGAACTGAACTGAATTGTGGGGTTGTTACCACAGTTGAAACTTGGTGGCAGGTGGGGCAGAAGGCAGTCGAGTTGTTGGTGGTCAGAAGCAATCTGTCCCCAAGGCCTCAATTCACTTTCTATAATAGGCATTCCTGGAGGGGGGGGAGGGGGCCTTAGTGTTGGGGGAAAGGCCACCGGCCTTAGAGACAGAAATGGCCTTGAATCTCTCCTCTGCCATCCACCAGATAAAGCCACCCCCGGCTCTGCATTTGCTTAAACGGGCTTGCAGCCCTCTGCCTTCCGGTGTTCCCGCCCCTCCCTTGCTCCCAATCCTTCCCGCTTTCCGTTATCAGGTCATCCGGTTCGCTCCTCACTGGCTCTATTAAAGGTACTTCTGTGGTGCCTTTCACGTCACTTCCCCAGGCAAGGCTGCAAACTGGACGCAGAACCATAGAATCTCAGAAGGTGAGCAAAGGAATGAATCTCAGTGACCACCCGGCCCAAGAACCTGAGTCTAAGAGAGGGAACCGGGCTTTCCAAGAGCAGAAGCAGCTGACAAACGTCTCCCAGGCCCACCGCTGCCCACGCTCAGCCCAGAGTTCTTCCCACTGTGACCCACTCACGCCCCCTGTCCAGTGAAGCCTGTTCCAGAGTTAGATCCCCAAACCTGAGGCACAGCTGAAGAAAATAAAGTCTCAATCCGAAAGACAGTTGGGTCATTTCTACAGGCGAATGCCAATTATGAAAACGCGAAGTGTTAATTGTGACGCTGTGGGGTGCTCAGGATTTGCATCAACTCCAGGGAAGCAGATGGCCTCGGAAACATCGCTTTACCACGTAAAATGGGCGCAGAGCGCCATCTGCTGGACGCCTGGGCTTCAAGGCGCCTGCCAGAGTAGGAACAGGGAGGGCTTTAATTAAGCAGTTTATTTCCTGTTGGTCACTCCCAAACACACACAATAAAACCTAGCTCCATATTGCTCCATATTTATTCCTTTTTCAAATTTACGGTGCTTTATTTTTACTCTTTAATATGCTATGGTTATCTCTCCTTATTAGTAACATAAATTGAGCTAATTTCTTTTTTAAACTTCTTTTAAAATTCTACTATGAAATGTCCACATATACACAAAAGAGAATGGCACAATAAACTCCCATATATTTTCCCCCAAATTTAAAAATTGTCAAAATTTTTCCATACTTGCTTCTCTATCTCCCTTTATTCTTTGCTAAAGTAATCCTAAGTATCATATATGACTTCAAACTTCAGTATGAATCTCTTTTAAAAATGAAATTTTTTTCATAAGCACAATATCATCATTAGAGTTAATATAATTATCAATAATTCTTTGTCACTATCTAATGCCCAGTCCACAATCAGATTTCTCTGGTAGTCTAAAAACAATTTGTACCACTGGTGGGTCAATTCAGAATCAGAAGGATTCAATCTAACAAAGCATATTTAAAATCCATGAGTTCATATACATCTAAAGGAAAATGAGAAAATTTGCCACCAGAAAGAAGGAAGGAGGGAGGGAGGGAGGTGTTAGGATTCAGGGCAAGCCACCCCAAAATATGCCTTACCTGTATCTTGATAATTTTGAATTAATGTTACTTAAGATGTGGTCAGTGCAAGAGGAACACTCTGACCCTCTCGTCTGCCTCCCTGAAAAGAGGAAATCAGTCTCCCATGTGGAAGGTGCACTTTATGCCTCTGGAGGAAAAAGGATACCCTTAGATAGCCAGACGTATGGGACTCAGGGCTGAAAAGTCGGTGTTTACAAACATTGTTATGTCTTTTGACTATTCCAAGCCCAAACTGTTTGAGATTCTTCACTAATTGAACACCCAAAACCTGTGTTCCTTTGTCCTGTCATTTTCTCACAAATGTATTATTTTTTGTTTTTTATTTTTGTTTTGTCTAAAGAAAAAGCTCCCTGCTCTGGCCACTTCCTAGGTACCGCTTCTATAGGACCTGCATGCGCACAAATTAAAATTTGTCTTTTTCTCCTGTTAGAGTCCAGCCACAAAAACTCAAGAGGGGTAGAGGGGAAATCTCTCCCTCTAACAGAGGGAATGAAGTAACCCTTTCTCATCAGTTAATGCAGGTAGGTCACAAACTCCTTACACTGAAAATTGGCAACTCAAGAAAAGAATTGAGGAAAAAGATACATACCCTGCCTTTCATGAATGAACTGTACTTCCGTGTCAAAGTAGCTCTACTTAGTGGAGGACAACCTTCTTTACAGAGAATCCCATATAATAAAAGTGGAAGGAATGATAGAGTTATAAAATCTGCATTTTGCAATTCCCGCTGAACTGGCTGATGTTCATCAGTGGAGGAAACCACGGGATAAAAGTAAATGAAATGTTGATGGGGAAGTAAATGAAAGAGTTTTGCAATGGTGCTTCACATATCAATGCAGCATATGAAATGCTGTGTGCAGACAAGCAAAATTTGTTTTTCTGATCTATAAAATGTGATAACACCATCTCATCATCTTTAACTTGAAATCAAAACTGTAGATTTTATTTTATTTATTTTTTATAATTTAAGGAAGGTGAACTTAGGGAATTAGAAGACTTCTAAATTGGCCTCTACACATCCAATAATTTAAATGTAACCAGTTTTTGTTGGGACTTTATAAAATCATACTCGTGTTTATAACTGTTAGGGGCTCCCCCAGTGGCTCAGCAGGTAAAGAATCCACCTGCAACGCAGAAGACACAGGAGACACGCGTTTGACTCCTGGGTTGGGGAGATCCTCTGGAGAAGAAAATGACAACGCACTCTAGTATTCCTGCCTGAAAAATCCCGTGGACAGAGGAGCCTGGTGGGCTACAGTCCATGGGGTCACAAAGAGTCAGACGTGACTGAGTGACTAAGCATGATATAACTGTTACCTACTCTGTAAACTGCAATAAATGTAATTGCAACTATTAAACATTACTTAATATTTTGATTCAAAAAAACGTTGATGGGGAACCTGCAGGGGAGAGCTCAGGCCGTCATCACCACTCCCACTCAGTAAACTAACACTACTAAAAGTTAATCCCCCTGGTTTCCTTCATAAGTTGTTTACAGTCTGTTTATAGTCTGACTTCAGCTCTTTTGGAGGTTATTTTCTCAGTTTAATACTTACACCTCTATTTCTTATTTTACAACATTATGCAGTATATATACATTATAAATTATTCCTCTTCTCCCTTTTTCTCCCCAAATGAACTTAATATACACCTGAAACTAACACGTTATGAATTAGCTATAATTCAATTTAAAAAGCACACACAATACCATTTAACCTAATCTGTAAGCCCTCACATACTCAGGTCCCAGTGTCTCTCTAGCTTCAGTCCTTACCAAGGCCAGCCCTCCTTGATTTCTCCATTTCACCCACAAATGGGTCCCACACTGGCACTGTCAACCCCAAATGACAAGCAGGCACAGAGGCAGAAACCCTCTTAGCGCTTCTCTTCGCCTAGTTAACCCTTACACTTCCTTGAGACTTCGACAGAAAGTTGCTTCATTAAAGAAGACTTCCTTGAGACTTCGACAGAAAGTTGCTTCCTTAAAGAAGACTTCCTTGACATTCTCGTCACAATTTTGAGTAAAATTTGAGTGGTTGATTATCTGTCTCCTACATTAAGCCCTAAATCCTAGGGTTTAAATTTGGCTTTGCTCACATCACATCCCCTGTATGTAACTCTGTCACCTGGCGCCAAGTAGACAATTGATAAACGTTGAGTCAGTAAGTTAATGAGTTGCTGGAGGAAAGTGATGTCCAGGTTGAAATCCGGAGGACCGCAGGATTTAGAACAGCACCGAGGGGGACTGGGCACTCCACTGTTGCCCTGACTTCTTCTTCTTTTATTTTGCTGAATTTCTCACTTTGAGCAGCACTTAAAATGGTAGCTTTCTTCTACCCAAACTGAGAGAAGCCATCTGGAGCAAAAGGTTAGAAGTTCTACTGTCAGGACCTGACCAAGACAGCTGCAAAGTTGGGAAGAAAAGGGAGAGCTATCTCTGCTGACGGTTGCTGCATTGCCCATTGTGCCCGTAGCAAGTCAGACTCATCAAATAATTCCAATGGTGCTCAGTTGGCATTTTGTAAAGTAAAACCCTATCAGCTGCTGCTTCAAGTTTTTATCTCTAGTCTCACTGGGATCATCATTTGGGTGCAGACTGCATCAGTGATGAAATTTGTGTGGCACATCTTGAAATGGTAGTTTATGAAAAAAGTATTATTAAGGCTCAAAAAAAGAAACTATATAATTTCTCTTTCCAAGCATAGGGAAAACATAGACACTGTCTCCCTGTGAAGAAGGATCCTCCAAGCACTGAGCCACCTCCCTGCAATTACATTGTCTCCCCAAAACAAATAAAAAGGATTGCCCATCCAATCACACAATTGTGAGAAGAAATGAATTGCTGTTTCAAGCCACTAAATTTAAGGGTGGTTGATTATGCAACAATAGGTGGCTGATGTTTTTCGGTTTTTTAAATCTTTTTAGATGGGTTATAACCTCCAGCACAATGTAAAGGGTGATAGCAAACAACTGCCCATGGCTATCAAATTTTGAAAGTTCCATCCACTCTGGATATATATCTGGAAAAAATAAAAACTCTAATTTAAAAAAGATAAATAAATGTACCCCAATGTTCATAGCAGGACTATTTACAATAGCCAAGATAACAAAAGCAACACAAGTGCCCATCAACAGATTATTGGCTTAGGAAGCTGTGCAACTCATATTTATATCTATATCATATAAATGTATATACACACGAATATTACTCAGCCAAAAATGGAATATTACTCAGTCATAAAAAATAATGAAATATTACTATTTGCAATAATATGGATAACATGGATAGAGAATATAATGCTTAGTTGAATAAGTCAGACAGGAAAAGATGAATACTATATAATATCGCTTATATGTGGAATATAAAAAATAATCTAGGTGAATCTATACATGAAACAGAAACAGACTCAAATAGAAAACAAACTACACTATACTTACCAAAGGGGAGAGGAAAAGTAAGAAAGGACTAAAGAATATGGGATTAACAGATCCCAAGGACTATACACAAAAGAGATAAACAACAAGGATATACTGAATATCACAGGGAATTATACCCAATATCTTGCAATAATCTATAATGGACTACAATCTGCAAAAAAAAAAAAAAAAAAGAATCACTATTCCATACACCTGAAAGTAACACAGTTTAGTAAAATCAATTACAGGTGAGGTGAAGGCACTCGGTCATATCCGACTCTTCGCGACCCCACGGACTGTAGCTTACCAGGTTCCTCCGTCCATGGGATTTTCCAGGCAAGAGTACTGGAGTGGACTGCCATTTCCTTCTCCAGAGGATCTTGCCAACAAAGGGATCAAACCCAGGTCTCCCGCTTTACCATCTGAGCCACAAAAATCTTATTATTTATTTCAAAAATGTTGAAATACATATTGAATTCTATGCTCCAATATTCCATCCATCCTCTTTTCAGGTCATCTGCAAACTTAATCATCATGATTACACAGTCAATAAAGTATTTTTAAAAAGCTAAATGCAAAACAGAAAAAGAGACTCAGATGTATAGAACAGACTTGTGGACTCTGGGAGAAGGCGAGGGTGGGATGTTTCAAGAGAACAGCATTGAAACATGTATATTATCTAGGGNTAAAGTATTTTTAAAAAGCTAAATTACCAAGAGGTAATACAAGAGCAGATTAAAAATTGAAAGTTTCACTCTCATTTTTTATTATCACTTTTAACATTGTATTTTCTATGTAAGACAATAGAAATATTCCTTCCCTTTTTGTCCCAGATTCTCAGTGCTCTTACAAGTCCTTACCAACATGTTTTCAATTAGTTTTGTGAGCATCCTTACATCCCATGCATGTACAGTTGGGCACTCTTCCCATCTTCCCCTCGCCCAAATACATATTCTCTTGTTCTCCTAACTTAAATATATTTACATTTTACTGTCTAGTTTTCATTTTTTTGAGCATTGCATTTTTCTTCCCAAGATACCTTCCTAATTCACTCATTTATTTATGCAATAAAACTCTATTCAGCAATCAGTATATATTTTGCAATGTTGTAAGCAATAAGACCTCAAAGATTAAAAGACACATTATTCAAAAGGCACTGTGTAGTGGGAAAACAGACACATAAACAACTAAAACACAATGAGCTGAGTTCAATAAAGAGGAATATGCAAAGGGTTATGGAAGCAGAAGTATGCAAAGGAACGATTACATTGATGGTTTCCAAATTCAACCCAGGTAAGGAAGGCAGCGAGGTCTAGAGGGCCTAGGGAGAAGACAGAGTCTGAAAAGGTAATAGGGTCCTGGCAGTAATGTGCCAGAACTAGCTAATATCAGCTCAAGAGAGTCACAACTCTTCCCAATCCTGTTTTCAGAGACTTCAGGTTGGTAGTTGAAACTGCCCATGGAGGAAGTATTTACGTGACAGAAATTGGCAAATGCTATGGACCTAGGCACTTTGATGGGAGAGCCAGTTGTTAAATATCTTACAGCACACCACAAAATCAATGGATTGGAGGAGCTGTTATAATTTTTTTTATTATTGTTAGAGTCCAAATTCTAGAGGGAATGAGCTGGAAAGACAGAAAAAGGGAGTCAGGGAATGGATCACTCATGCTGGTTTTAGCAACTGGTCTAGGGTTCCTCTTTTCTCTCTCCATGGCCTTCCCACAACCACCCTCGCTTTGCACATTTCTCTGGATGGACCTGAGTTACTCCTCTTCATGTTCATTTTCTCCTAGGACTATTTCTTCTCACCTGCCCAAGAAATCAAGTCTGAGCTAATAATTGTCATCATTTTTGATACAACTAAAATTACTGTCTACATTCGGACAGAATGTCCCTGGCCACTTCTGCATAGAAATCTGAGAAAACTCATTTGTAAAAAGGACTTTCTTCAGCATCCTTTATTCAACCACTAATGGCTTAATTGGTCTGAACACTACAGAGGGAAATGAGAGGAAAAGTGGACAAGGTGGACAAGAGTGATTATACTGTGACCAGTAAAAATTGATCCAGAGAGTGAATCCACAATCAAAATTGACATTTCACCTCTGCTGTAACCTAAGGGAGCCCAGTACCTTTGGAGCACACCATTGATTAAAAATTACTGTGCAGTTTCAAAATATACCGTGTCTATAAAAGTGAAAATGACAAACAGAATGCCTGGCATTCCCTTTTGTCCTGGTATCTGATATGGCACTAATTTTCTCTGATGCTCATTGGTGCCCCTGGGCATTCAGAAATATTTTCTTTCTGTTTATAAATATGTCAAGTACTCCCTTCTGTTGCTTTGATCATGCACAGCTGTTAAGTTAGGGCTGGTTTCAGAAAATGGCACTATACAGGGTGAAAAGGACTGCCTTCAGACTTTATCAACCATCTGGAATGGTGAGCTGCTTTGATGTCCTAATATCTCTCTGGTTTCATTTCTACAAAGTAGGAAAATTTCTAGCAAAAAGTGCATCAACATAGACGTAACTGAGTAATGCTCATACCTCTAGAAACCTGGGCTTTCAGTTTTTGCTGCTGCCATATTTACAGAATTATCAAGGGAGCCCCTTGACCCTGTTCGAGAAGGATATAAAGGAGGTGTTTCAGAGGCTTAACAGTAGGTCGTGCTGCCGGTGACAGAATCTTCTTTACATTATCCCTTCTTTTTATTTCATATCAGCTTGGAAACTTCTGTTGAGAAGGTCCAGAAAACTTGGATTCTATATATTGGAATGAAACCTATAGCGTAGTACTTTTAAGTCAAGTAAAGAAACCCGCACCACCCCTTGCCAATTCTTGAGAGTACCTCATCAGAAAAATAAAACATGAAGGATAATGAATGGCTTCAGTCCTTGTGAATGAGTTCATTCCTTTTCCTTCGTGATTGAAACTGGGGCCACAGTAATTACCTCCTCTATTAACAACCGCAATTACGGCTCCCGTGGTGGCCAGTGTAGGAGACACAGGGTTCGATCACTGATTCAGGAGGATTCGCACACGCATGCAGTAACTAAGCCCATGCACCTCAACTACTGAGCCTGTGCTCTAGAGACCGTGCTCTGCAACAAGAAAGGCCACCGCCATGAGAAGCCCATGCCCAACACTAGCGAGTAGCCCCCAGTCACCCCCAATAAATAAGACTGTTTAAAAAAAGAACTGCAATTAACTTCATGCATGTCTATGTCATTAACTCAAAATGAAATTAAAAATAACTTCACAAATGCAATTTTAGAGAAGTAAAGATGTCAAGTAGTATGCCTTGGTTTCCCCCAGTCCTGATGCTTCCCAGTTTTATCTCACTTGTAAGATGTCTACATATATTCTGAGCACTGTACATTGATGGTACAGATCTTTACAAACATAATAAATATGCAGTTTCCTAGAATAATGTACCATTTCAAATGTTTTCATAGTCACACAATAGAAATCCCAACTTAACTGGCTTCCATGAATATGAAAACCAGCTATCGCACTTGAGAAGTCCTGAGTCTGGACAGCTCTAGAACTGGCTGTTGCCAGGGATGCCACTGAACACCCTAGTCTTTTCATCTTTCTGATCTGCATTCTTTGAAGTCAGCTGTCTCTGCTGTCTCCCCTCAAGATCAAAGTGGCTGCGGTAACTATGGTTATTATATCCACAAAGAGGGAAATCCAGGAAAGATCTATCCTTTCCTTGTGTTCCTTTATGAGAATGAGGAAATACTTCCCAGAAGCTTGCATCCAATTACACTTCAAGTCTCACTGACTTTACCCTAAAGCAGTCCCTGTTAAGGGGAATGGGAATACCCAAATAAGCTTAGATTGTTCCAGATTTACCCTGGGTCATGTATGAGAGGCTGCCCTGGAATATAAAACCAGGATCTTCCCACAAGTAAAAAGTTTATACTAAATCAATAAGGCTCTCCAGTGATGGAGTTGCCCCAGCCTTCCATCCTTCTGTCTTCTATTTTCACTTTATTCAGATGCATGATTTTATATATTTTCCTGATACCTATTTACCAGTGGCAAATTTACATCTCCAGCCCACAAATGTAGCTCTAGCTTTAGAACCAAAATTCAAACTGCCAACTACTGCAGACGCTACAAACTCAACATATATGTGGAACTAGTTTCCCAATATGTGGTTTACATCCAATAACCTTTATCACAACTAATAAATGAACTACGTAACCAGTCTAAGAAGCTAGATATATCAATATCACTATGACTTTATCCCCTTCTCCTGATACATTCATTCGGTTTCCAAATTGTGCTGATTCAATTTTCTAAATGGTCCTCAAATAAGACCTCTATTACCCCGTCTCCAATTTGTTCTGTATGACTCAAATTTCCCTGCATCCATTTCTGCCTCTGCTATGACTCCTAGTTTGATCCTCATCAAACTAAGGGAAAGTGTCAGTGACCTCCTTAAGTGTTTTGGGAAACCTCAGTGGCCACGGGGGAAAAAAGAAAAACAGCATCATCTTAAGGCTCTTTACAATCCATTCCCAACCAGTGTAGCCTCCTCCGGCAACTCTCCCAACAAGCACCCTCTAAACTCCTGGACACTGAGCTCCTTACCGTTCCCTGCTTATATCAGGCCTTTCGCAAAGTTTGCTTTTGTATATAACATAGTTTCTACCACCTTGAATTCTCTCCCTCAACTTTCACTTAAGAAATTATTGGTCATTCTTTAACATTTCAAAATACTATCTCCTCCAAACAACTGATATAAACATATGTGAAAAAGAATTCAACTCCAAAAAGAATTAAGGAAATGCATAATAAAACTATATTGGTTCAGAAACAGTACGTTGAGTGCAAGAAATGGGCACATGAGGCTACAGACAATATGATCTCACTTACAAGAAATGTTAGAAATGGCAAAACTACAGGGATGAAAATAGGGACCAAAGGTCTCCTGGGACCAGGAGTAGGTGCCAGGCCATCTGAATGATACAAAGAATCTTTTTAAGGGGAATGGAAATGTTCTAAGTCTGTGTGGTAGTAGTTACATTTCTGTGTACATTCTCCAAAATTCATCAAACTGTACATTTTAAATTGGTGAGCTTTTCATTTCCAGAAAAATAAATAACCCAATCAAAAAATGGGCCAAAGATCTAAACAGACATTTCTCCAAAGAAGATGTACAGATGGCTAACAAACACATGAAAAGATGCTCAACATCACTCATCATCAGAGAAATGCAAATCAAAACCACAATAAAGGTACCACTACACGCCAGTCAGGATGGCTGCTATCCAAAAGTCTACAAGCAATAAATGCTGGAGAGGGTGTGGGGAAAAGGGAACCCTCTTACACTGTCGGTGGGAATGCAAATTAGTACAGCCACTATGGAAAACAGTGTGGAGATTTCTTAAAAAGCTGGAAATAGAACTGCCATATGACCCAGCAATCCCACTTCTGGGCATACACACCAAGGAAACCAGATCTGAAAGAGACACGTGCACCCCAATGTTCATCGCAGCACTGTTTATAATAGCCAGGACATGGAAGCAACCTAGATGCCCATCAGCAGACGAATGGATGAGGAAGCTGTGGTACATATACACCATGGAATATTACTCAGCCATTAAAAAGAATACATTTGAATCCGTTCTAATGAGATCGATGAAACTGGAGCCTATTATACAGAGTGAAGTAAGCCAGAAAGAAAAATACCGATACAGTATACTAACACATATATATGGAATTTAGAAAGATGGTAACGATAACCCTATATGCAAGACAGAAAAAGAGAAACAGATGTACAGAACATATTTTTGGACTCTGTGGGAGAAGGCGAGGGTGGGATGATCTGAGAGAACAGCATCGAAACATATATATAATCAAGTGGGAAACAGATCACCAGCCCAGGTCGGATGCATGAGACAAGTGCCCAGGGCTGGTGCACTGGGATGACCCAGAGGAATCAGATGGGGAGGGAGGTGGGAGCAGGGTTCAGGATGGGGAACACATGTAAATCCATGGCTGATTCATGTCAATGTATGACAAAAACCACTATAATACTGTAAAGTAATTAGCCTCAAACTAATAAAAATAAATGAAAAAAAGAGAAAAAGGAAAAAAAAATCAGTGAACTTTTATATGAAAATTAGACTTTAATAAAGATACTTCAGATATGCCTGCACCCAAACTTCAAAGAAACACTTTAAGAGCAACAGTAAACTAAAAATTTCTCCTATTAAGCTGGCAAAACTTAAAATGCATACTACTTCATGTTGGTAGTGTGTATGAGTGTGAAAGTCGCTCAGTCGTATCCAACTCTTTGTGACCCCATGGACTACACAGTACATGGAATTCTCCAACCCAGAATACTGGAGTGGGTAGCTTTTCCCTTCTCCAGGGGATCTTCCCAACCCAGGGGAAGACCCCAACCCTAGGATCAAACACAGGTCTCTTGTATTGCAGGCAGATTCTTTACCAGCTGAGCCACAAGGGAAGCCCCAGAATACTGGAGTGGGTAGCCTATCCCTTCTCTAGCGCATCATCCTGACCCAGGAATAGAACCGGGGTCTCCTGCATTGCAGGCAGATTCTTTACTAACTGAGCTATCAGGGAAGCCCTCCATGTTGGTAAGAATTCATTAAAATGTGTATTCTACTACATGCCAACATGAGAGTGATAATTTTTTTTTCCATTTATTTTTATTAGTTGGAGGCTAATTACTTTACATCATTACAGTAGTTTTTGTTATACATTGAAATGAATTAGCCATGGATTTACATGTATTCCCCATTGATAGAACCCTTTTTAAAAATAATTTGAAGCTGAGTAACATTCCATTGTATACATGTACCACAATTTCTGTATCCATTTATCTGTCGATGGACATCTAGGCTGCGTCCATGTCCTGGTTATTGTAAAGAGTGCTACAGTGAACACTGGGGTACCTGCGTCTCTTTTGGGTATGGTTTACTCAGGGCATGGAAACATTACCATCTGTGAAACAGTCAGTGGGAATTTGTTGTGTGATGCAGGGAGTTCAACCCAGTGTTCTGTGACAATCTAGAGGGGTGGGATGGGGTGGGAGATAGGAGTAAGGTTTAGGAGGGAGGGGACATATGT